TGTTAAGGCAGAAGTGATCTGGCAACCACGATGAGAGAAAACAACAATGTGGTGAGCTAGCAGCCTTTTTTTTTTTTTTTTTTTTTTTTTGGATTGATTGCGTGCTGGGAGGTGCACGTATGTGACTGCGATGGCAAGAGTGTCCATCCAAACAGAAGTAAATGAAAATAAAGCTACAATCCATTGAATCCTAGTGTTTGTGTTTCATGAAGACTTTTATTCTCGAATAACAACAACAAAAAAAAAAAAAAAAAAAAAGACAATGCACCAACAATCAATGAAGTGGTGATTGCTATAGTTGGTGAAGAATTTAACTCAAATAATACAATTCTTCATCACAGAAATGATGATGTTCAGTGAGTCTCAGAAACTCATCGCTCATACGATGGATTACAATATCCGATTTTATTTTGAAAAGATGAATAGCATTTCAACATCAATTTGAGAAATACACAACCAGATGAGGAAACGAAAAAGAAATTCAGTGTCATGAATTACTATTCATATCTATCGATGATTTGAGAAAAGGCTGAAAATCACAAATTTAAATGTCGGCGATAACTCCATCAATACATTGTCAATACGTATACGAAAATCGAAACTGAACTCTGCATTCGATTAAATCAAACCAAGCAGCATTCCAAGAACACACTCATTTACATGATACAATTGTTAATGATGGCAATATGAAGACCAATGAATTGAGGAAAATGGTCATACTATCAGGCACATTTACAGAAAGTTCACAGCACATGCACTGAATATGCTCAATATGCAATCACATGTGTTCAAGCATATGGTTACCAAGATTTGTTCATTACATTTACATGGATTCCCGCATAGGATGAAATCAAAGAACTGTTCATGGTCCATGTGGCTTACTCAAGAACATTCACCACGCATGTCTGATGGGAAATGCATGAAACAATATCCAAGAGACTTACTTGTTGAGACTATCACTGGCAATGGAATGCCCACTCTATCGTCGACAATCAACTGAAGATAGCGGCAAGTCCACTACTTTAAAAGTAAAAAACAATTACATTGGCAAATCTAATTACTTTAATTAAAAGTAAAAAAAAATGATGTTGAAGTCAATAATCATTGAGTTATACTGTATTCATTATTACTCTCAGAAATGTACAAAGCACATCAGTGCTTCTGAATTACAGAATGCAACAAAGGTGCTAGTTTTACAGTACATATCAATGTAGAGTATTGCAGTTCAGTGAAATCGATCCAGTAAGTTTGTAAATATAAAAGGAAGTGATACAGCAGTTTTTAGCGTAGGAAATGCAGTTGAACCTGTTAATGAAATTGTTTGATATCAACTGGGAAGCTACATTAATAGCAATGAAGAAGTATGGCACATTTTATGAATTCCAATACATGAATGTCATCCTACAACTGTTCATTTAATAGTGCACCTTGACAATGGACGGCTTTTGTACTTCACAACAGGAAATTCATATGCAAGCGCATTGACACCACCAATGCTAGCTGCATTTTTCTCATTGTGTGCAGATGCTATGTTTTTAAAAATAATACATTAACTCTGAAGTACCAAAATACTACACATGGAATGCATCAATAAAAAAATTTAAACATTGCAAATAAGGTCAAACAGTTACAGGATATCCCAATTTACATTCAACCGATGCTTTAGGTCATCTGTACACTGTTCACCCAAACAAATCAGAATGCTTTTACTTGTAATTACAGTTAATCAAGGTATGTGGACCAATATCCATCCAAAACCAAGAATAGTAAACAGTTCAGTACATGCAATTTATCATGAAGCTTGTCAAGAATTAAATCTTCTTGAAAATGATGCATACCGAGACACTTCACTCACTGATGCATCAAATACTGCTCAATCACACCAAATACCTTTGTTATTTGCAATCAGATTGACAATGTGCTTACCTTATAATCCAAATGATCTCTGGCAAAAATACAGAGAATACATAAATGAAGACATCCATCATTTGCATGCAACAAATCAAAATCCAAACATTCAATTCACAACAAACACATTTAATGAGGCACTGGTTTTGATTGAGGGCTGGCAATCGTTAACAACACACTGATACAATTAGGAATGGCTGCACCAAATCAATCTCCTAATGACCTTTGCGATTGTGATTTGTAAAGAGAAACACACTTTGATGTTGATGAATTGGGTACCTTTTGTCCAACCAACAACCAATCTTCCAAAATTGGTTCCAAAACAATGCATAATGTACAATAGGATTATGCATGCAATCACAAGCCAAAGCATAGGATTGTATTTCCTAGATGCGCCCGAAGGCACAGGAAAAATTTTCAGAATTTCACTTATTTTGGCAACCATACGATCGCAAAAAAATATCGCACTGGCAATTGCATCATTCAGAATTGCAGAACCTTTTTTAAATAGCAGCTGAACAGCACATTCAGCATTGAAATTGCCATTGAATATGCAAATCACTGAGATATCAACATGCAATGTGAATGGAAATTCTGGAATGTCTAAACTACTCCAATCATTTCAATTCATTATTTGGGATGAATGCACTATAGCACACCCAAAAGCATTGGAAGTGCTGAATCCTATACTATAATTGAAGAGGAAATGCACAGCTCTTCATTGGTGCACTTATTTTATTGTCTGGTGGTTTTCTACAAACTTAAACTAGTTATACCATGTTCAACACCTGTTGATGAACTTAATGCATGACTCAAATCATCCTTCTTATGGCATCGTGTACAGATATTGACTCTGAAGAACAAAAAGCATGCACAACTACAACTTGACACATCCATTAAATGTTTTGAAAAACAACTATTGGATATTGGGAATAGGAAAATGGCAATTGATGAAGCCATACATCATATCACATTGCCAGCAAACTTCTGCAAAATCATTGCAACTACAGATGAACTGATTCATAAAGTTTTCCCAAATAAAACCCAGAATTACAAAAATCATCAGTGGCTTAGTGCATGTGCTATATTAGCAGCTAAAAACAACGATGTTAATGCCATCTAGTTCAGCATTCAAAACAAAATACCAGATGAAGCAACAACATACAAGTCCATCGATACAGTAATATACCAAAAAACATTTTTCAATTATCCAACTAAATTCTTAAATTCACTTGATTTGCAAGGCATACCGCTGCACTTAAAATTGAAAATTGGAGTGCCTGTCATTTTTTTCTGAAACATCAATCCGCTATAATTTTGCAATTGTACCAGGCTTTCGGTGAAAAATTAAGAATAACATCATTGAGGCTACGATTTTAAATGGAAATTTTAAAGGAGAAGATGTACTGTTGCCAAATATCAGAATGATTCCAACAGAATGCCATTCAAATTTAAATGTTTGCAGTTTACACTTCGACTCGCATTTGTAATGGCCTCCTATATAGCACAGAGACAACTGCTACAAGCTTGTGGATTAAATTTAGAAAATCAATGCTTTTCAAATGAGCAGCTGTAGTGACTTGCTCGCGCATTAGAAAAACACTCAATTTATTCGTGTACAGGCCAAATGCAAAAACAAAAAATACCGTGTATCTGAAAGCACTTCAATAAACAGATTTAAAACATAAACACTTTCTTCCCTTTAAAGTAGCATTGCAACATAAGAAAGATTCAAATTTTGATATATGGGAGAAGCAGACATAGAAACTACAGCATAACAGATATAAACTATGATCAGATATTATTAATGGATCATCTTCATCCCTCACTTCTGAATATTAGGTTGTGTGAGATAGCCCATACTCCTTTCTCTCAAATCTTATTTCCAGTAACATGGTGCAATCTTTCTTCTTCCCAGCTACCACATTTAAACATTCTAGTGTATTAGCTCTCTTTCTGAGTCTACAATGTACATATCATTATATCAATTTATATGAGTTGTGTATTTATTATTATTACTTTTAACAATTTTATTTATTTAAGTATTCAATTTAAAACCCAGGAAAAGTTTAAAAGATTTTCCCTTATAAATTAAAACTGCTTCTTAATGGTAAGATTTTAGTCATCATATTGTATACTGAAAAATAGTGAACACATTTATGAATAAATAAAACTATCCTCTCAATATACTAGGTTTTCATCTGTAATAAATATAATTTCATGTTAATAAATAAAATTAATATCACCCGCTACATGCATAACTAATAATAAACTTTTTATTAAACTAGCTATTGGTATGGCCAGCTGCCTAAAATAATTATTGTGAGAAAGAAAAAATATGTAATGATTTTAATAAAAGTTCAGCTACTATAATTTTGCAGGTCTAGCTACTAATTAATAACAGATTAAAAACTGCATTTATTACTTTGGCACTGCTTATCTGATACATCAGTAACAAATAAAAATTCAGTATCTTACATTTTGTCAAATAACAACACACTGGTGAATGGAAGATAAAAAGTATTTAGCATTAAGCATTAGACAGCAGCAACAGATTTCTTTTAAATCGTGGAGTTTATTGATGAAACTTGGAAAATAAATATCTTATGCTATGCCCAGCAGCAACATATTTCTCCTCAGTCGCTGACTTTTATGATAAAATTTGAAACATTAATACCTTATGTTTTGCTGAGTGGCAACACACTACTTTTAAGCTGGAGAGTTTGTAAATTAAAATCAAAAAAAAAAAAAACATAAATTTTTTTAAAAATTGAAAGTTAGGCTTCAAAGTGCACATGTTCAGATGCAGGGTGGCTACAAGTGCTGCTGTTTCCCTCACACACACTCAATGTGAAGAACATTCATGCATACAGATTTTTCATTATTTAATAATAAAAATTCTATTAGAAATTTTCCGATGAAACTAAGCAGATTTTAAGCAAATTATTTGGAAAAACTATGTTATGATAAAAGTACATTTGTAATTACTATACAGAATTTTTTACTTGCAAGAAGTTAAAAATTAAATGTGAAAAACTTGCCACGTAAAACCATACTGTGAAAAAATAGCATTAAATTGGTCGTTAACTTACTCTATAAAATATGGTTCCCCATTACTAGTAAAAGCCCTTTCCCAATTTTCTGGTAACGGTCCCAAATCACAAACAGTTGGTCCACATTGCATACTGTCAGTTGTTGTAACGGAATTACAATTCTGGTAACCCAAATATGAAAATCCAGAAACGGGAGTTGAAGATCTGGAAAAAAAAAAATGAAGCTACTCATTTACAATAAAGAAATTACATTTTAATATCACATAAATTATTTTCCCTAAAGCATACACCTTAATCAAAATTTACTAATCCTCAGATTTTCATATATAATACATATATTCTTAAAAATCAAATATGTACCGAGTATTAGAAGATAAAATGGGAACTGAAAATTCAGCAACATCAGATGTTTTCGAAGCCATGGCTTCAACATTTGATCTGTTACGCCGTCTCTTTCCTTCAGAAGATGCATGTGCACCAGGAAGAAGCAAGCTGCTGGAAGGGCCAATAGAATTACTTCTCCTCATGGGAGAATGATAATTATCTTTTGGAGGCATTGGAGTCCCGTAATGATTACCTAAAAATAAATACAAATTTAACCCTTACAAATTATTGCTTATTAAAATTTTTAAATTTTTATTTCAAAGTGAAAGTGAAAATCTATCTAATTCATCTGAATATTAAATATAAAAAAACAACACATTAATCCTAATAATGTTAAAGAGTTAATGCTGCTCTTTAACATTGTTAACAATATCTTTAACATTATGTTTGAGAGTAAATATTACTCTATAATAACCGATACGGAATTTTTATAACTATTAATTCTTTAAAATGTCATCCCAAGAATTCCTTAAATGTATTTTTTAAAATACAAATTATTCATGGATTTTAAAAGATTTAAAATTCCTAAACCAAATAATGGTATACTAAGTGTTTTAAATGTTACTATCATGAATGAGATTATGAAAAGAGGAAAATGTGGAAAAGCAGATGATTCATTAACTGTTGAATTTTTACAAGCTTGATAAAATAATAAATGCATATCACTAACAATGTCCATGAACAGTACAAAAACTTATGTATATCAGCAACCAGTTTCATTGATAAATGATGGATACAAGGATATTTTATAATTCAAAATACATACATGATAAAATGATGAATCGCAGAATGATTATTTTGATGATCCATTACTTTCATTTGTTGTATTTAAAATATAGCAACTTCAAAGAATTTAACAATGAAAAAAAAAAAAAAAAAAAAAAAAAAAAGATGTCAAAATAAAATTTCAGAATTAAATATTTTACAGAAAATAGGTTTCTTCTTAAAAACACCGTCTTTTAACAACTGAAAACCAAAGAGCTATGATAATGCCTACAAATATATATATAAATACACTGATGAGACAGAAATCAGAAACAATTTACCTTCATAAATTCCACTTTCTAAAAGGCTTCCACTTCTTTCCAGTGCTATGAATTCTTCAACACTGAGAAAGGTATAGTCAACACCACTAATTTCACCAACTCGAGGAGGACGGGTAGTACCTAAAACAGATAAAATGTATTTAAAAAAGTATCACTCATACATACTGCCAATCAATACAACCAAATTCATATGAGGTAAAAATTTTCTTCTTCAATTGCACTACAGCCTATCACAGACCAAAGCCATCTCAATAAGTTTCCTTCAACAGATCCAATTAGTTGCTATAATCTGCCAACAATTGATTTTTAGTTTTGACATCTGCCTCCACACAGTTGGTCCATCATGTGTGAGGACTTCCTCTTTTCCTGATATATTCTATACTTGCAAAGGTCACCTTTTTAACAGGGTTCAAGTTGACACACCTAAAAATATGTCCAAGCCACCTGACACAATAAGATTTGATGACCTGAACAAAATTAGACTGTATCTTCTAGATATTTCATGGTTAAACAAAATTCTCCATCTATTATTTTTCCTGGTAAAAATATACTTGGGGGGGGGCCTTGGCGAAAACTGATGCTTTTGGGAGATTGACAAGCAAGGCACAATTTCAAGATGGCCATACACAAAACCAAAATAACAAGTCAAAGAATTGCACAAACTCGGTGCTCATGTACACATCAATATATTTTCGCTTCAAAAAACATTAGAGAATTGCACAAACTCAACATTGCACACTCCCTTGACTTTGTCCATGTACACATCGATCTATTTTCATTTTTAAAAAAATTAGGAGAATGAAGACGTCATATAATGTTACAGTTACTTACTCACCACTAAAATTGAACAATATTTGTAGCCAATCGAAGCTCAATAAACTGGGTTTTAAAATCACACAATGAAATAACATAAAAAAGGAAATACATGTTATTGCATGTACGCACTACAAAAAGGAAATATTGACTTACCATATTTAGAAATTTCTGCATCTTCAGGCTGTTACACACAAAATTCCTTAACAGCATCCAAAAACTTTCTAAAATTATCTCAACTAGAATACGCATATTGCCATCACCACATAAATTCACAAAAATAAGAGTCAAAAGTATCCTCCGTAGTGCCGGATTATCAGTGGCATTTCTTACATGAACTTTCTTGCAACAAACCCATTCAAAGCCATCTGAACGATCTTTATGTTCGAGCATACACATTTCCTTCGTACAAACAGGACACTTATAATGATTACTATGTAAATCTTCATTTACACACCAGTCAATTAATCCTTTGAGGTTCAGAGCATAAAAAAAATTTGGGGGGGGGGGGAATAACTTTACACATACATAATTAGCGTCTAATACAATATTATTTCATGCAACAAAAAAAAAAAGGTAAACCTTTAAGGTAATTCATGATGTGGTGGGATACCGCTTGTCCCACCACGCATTTAGAGCAGTAAAACTGCATCTTTGCCTCAGTGTAAATTCTTCTAACATGCTTATCTAAGGTGCTAGTTTTAGAAACCAAATAAAAATTCAAGATATAAAAAACGTTTTTGAATAATTATCTAGAAAATATTGATCATATTCACAAAATAAAGAATTTTTCAAAAAAAATTACATAATTTAAAAAGAAAATCGCTCTTTGTACGCTTTTTAGATATTTTTTAATAATTTCATAAGAGATTTGAGACAGAGAAGATTTTCACTTCAGTACTTCATTTGCTACAGGTTTGAAAAGCAAGATATTTAGAAGGCTGTCATGTTTATTTACATATCACCTCTCTTTCCTGTGCTTAGGATATTTTTCTATGGTGAATCACGCTCACATATCCATTCAGTATTCAATGACATTTCATGTTACAGAGTTATATTTCATGTTACATGTTTCCATTTATTTCGGAAAAAATATTAAATATTTTTCAAGTTTTAACATTATTGCAATTTATTAAAAAAATATAAATTTGCATTATCAACATGTAAAACGAACATGATACTTGAAATTAAACGGTGCTGCCGTCTAGTAGCAGCAATTCCTACATGTGCGGTGGGTCGTATTTGGTCCCACCTTTTAATTTCAACCATTCTTAATATATGTGAATTAAAATAATATTTTTTATTAGAAAAAGAAACTTTCACATAAAAATATTCATTCTAACACCAAAAGTTGTTATTCAGATGATTTAAATTGCATTAGAAATTAAGGGGAAAAACTGCTTCAAAATTAGACCTGCAAAAAAATTTTATTTTACATTATTTCCATGAATGTATACTAGCGCTGCCATCTGTTATACATTTAGAGAACTAAAAGGCATAATTTTATGTATTTTAAATGGAATTTTGCAGCTTTTGTCTGGGAGAGAAAAACTGATTAAAAAAAAAGGTGCGACACCTAGCGTCTCACCGCCCGTCAAAGGGTTAATGCTTTCCCCCCCCCTTTGTTCCAAATCAAAAAGAAACTTCAAATTAATCTCATCACACAGCCATTTTACGGTGCACAGCACAAAATAAGCAACGTACTTTCTAACCGACATCCAATGCAGAGATAAGCCCTTACAAATATTTTCCCATCAGTCAAATTCACTGCTATCGTGCAACCAATCCCGTCATAATAGGGTTTCCATAACATTCAACTACTCAGGTTACCATAAATGAAACAACAACTTGCCGATAATCCAAGAGGCACCCTGAAATATAGACTAACCAATTTCTCTAAACTGGGCCATATATTTTTTGCAGTATTTTTCTTTCAATGATTAAAAGTCTTTCTTCACCGGTTTTTGTTAGTGGCATTCACTACCATACAATATGATAGGTTTGTCAGAGTTGTATAGAGATTTATTTTTGTCTTGAGGTTTAATAAGTTAGACACTAATAAATTCTTTAAACCGTGATAACATCTATTAGCTCTAAATAATCTATTGTCAATTTCAAGTTTAATATTGTTATCACTAGAGATGATACCAATAAGATATGTACACTGAGAAACGCCCTCAAAAGAATAAGAATTTATTTTAGGTAGGAGAGGATTATGTACTCTACTAGTTGCTGCCATACATTTTGTTTTACATTCATTAATAGTTAGTCCAATGTCTCTGGCTGCAGACTCTAGAGAAATAAACGTTTCCACAACCACCTGTTTACTTCTGCCAATAATTTCGATATCATTGGCGTGCACTCTGTGGTAAATTACATTTGAGGAAATATTTAACATTAACACTGTTAATTACTGTCATGGCTAAGTTATTGTCATGTCAGGAACCAATGACTTGCAAGACAGGGTCTAAACCGCTGCCAATAGCAGATGTTAAATTTGGACATGCATGAATGCATCTACAGCTTTCCCACTCTGGTTCTCTGCTCAGTAGGTTTCATGCATTTGCTCTGATTGGTCAACTCTTATACCAAGTGGGAAAGTTCAAACTTTATGCCAAAACTCCTAAACCAGTTTTTGTGACATTGCGAAGTCTGGGTGCCCAGCAACAAAGCTCGACATAAATCAGTTATAACATTTATACCACCATCTGAAAGGAGCTTTAAGTTATGTCAAACATTACTTAAAACTAAAAGTGAAAGAAATAATATGATAAACACATACACCATAAATAGAAATAACGTATGTGACTAAAAATACCATAATGTGCCATGAGAGATTTTGGTTAAAGAAATATATAGTTAAATGCATAGGACAGAAAAAATCATGAGTATCTATTGTTTTTTCCCCATTCATAAATAAGATCACTGTGCTCACAAGTTGCTACTCTGATTGGCATTTTTTTATGCACGTGGATTGTTTATATAAATTCTTTTTTCTGATGAAGATCAAAACCATGTGATGCTGATTAGTTCAAAGGAATAGTTTAGTGATGCAAGTACAATAACTTCTGATAAATCAATTATTAAATAGTTCATGTAACAGTTAATTTTACTATACTATACATATTACTGAAGCATTAAAATTACAGAAAAAAATTGATTATCTGCACTCCCACCGAGAAGTTGCAAAAACGTATTCCTGAGGCAGTATGTCACCACAATAATTATGTGACAACCCATGGAGATATCACCAAAAAGTTTATATATATATGGCTGCCCAAGTATATGTGAAAAACAAGTCTGTTTCAGCCATTACACAATTTTGGTTTCATACAACGACAAGTTTGTGCAATTCTCTCATATAGATTGCTGTGTACATGAAGAGAATAACATTGCAGAAAGAAGCAATTCTCCAAAAAAGCACAAGAGTTTTGTTACCAGTGCTTCTTGTTTTTTTTTTTTTTTTTTTTTTTTTTTTTTTTTTTTGATTGACTGCTCTTGTAACAGAATTTTAAGTGTGCCAACATTTTGAAAATGGCTGTTGCCTTTTGCACATTGGCTTGCAAAAAATTCGTTGCTAATGAATAAGTTCTTGAATGCTCTCCAAAACTGCCAAAGAGTTCAGTAGAAGGTTAGATAATTAGAAAATGCACAGAAAACTACAAATGAAAAAAAGTGGAAAATATTTAGCACTTACATGGCACGGTTCTCTGATATAAATTATCTCTAATTGTGTTTTGAAGATCATGGTCCACTGATCCTTTTTGAAATCGAGTATTCAAAAAGTTTCGAAGATCTTTAGTCAAGTATCCTGAAAACGTAGTAAATAATACATGAAGGCTTTCAAATTAGAACACATAATAGTGAACAATAACACAAATAATCAAAAAGAAAATGTAACATTTTAAAAAACTTCAAAATGCCCACCTCCTTCCCCTCCCCCTTTTTTCCCCCATATACACTCAAATTTAACAAACAGGAAAATATTATAAAAGACAATCATAGCACAATAGCTTTAAAAGTGCTTAAAATATGCTTTGAAGCAATCACAAATAAATTTCTGTAAGCACATTTTAATAGAGGAAAATCAAACTAAAATTATTTGGAGCAGAGTAGATTCATTAAAGTTTCCTTTTCTTGCATGAAACTTGTTTGGGAAGAAAAACTGGTAATCAGTCAAAAGGTCTAAATGAAAATCCTTTCAAAAGTTCATTTTTTTTTCCTTTTTATATTTAAGATAAAATGTAAATAAGTAAAAGCTTAAGCTTTTTGATAATATGGCAAACAAATTCATGAAAATTAGCACTTGTCATTCCAGGAACTAAAAATCCCTAGCAAGCATTTAAAATAGCGACAAAACAGTCATCTTTTTTGTGAACTCATTGCAACATAAAATTATTTCTACATAAATCTGAGATATCTTGCACTGTTCATTATTGTGCTATTTTGTTAAATAGTCTATTGATGTTTTAAGTACATACATTTTATTTTGAATATGATGGCAGGTTCCCATGACTTTGAAACTACTCTGCTACTTCCTATTCCATACATGGCAAGTCCCAAATTTTAAACATTTTCTCAAAAGCAAGAGAAAAACAGTGATATAGCAGTTAAATTAATCCTCCTTTTCAAAAACAAAACTAGCTTATTGAGAATTAATCTGGATTACCTAAAACCAAAGCAAAGGTTTGACTGAATGAGTTTACCGAGATCAAGTGCATACTTGAAAATATACTGAAAACACATCAGTTTTACCCTACACTGACACCAGGGGGTGTAAATATCAGATTGCTGATTATTGCAATTATTTTTAATGAAAAAGTAGTTTTTATTAACGGAAACATTTAATTTTTTTAAATAACAAGAAAAAATCAAATAAATGTTATTCTTGCTCAGTTGTTCTTAATTTAGCATAAATTTATTAAAATAAATTAAAATAGATGTGAATTTTGTTATCTGTTTTTTCACATAGCTATGCACTTAAAATTAATAAACTCATTAATATATTAAACATTGATTTCTATTTTCTTAATTAGTTCACACCATTTACATGTACACTAAAACAATTGTTATTTAGATCACCTGCATTTCCTTCTACACAAGCAAAATTAAACTTGCACTTACAGATTAAAAATTCTTTTGTAGATAATATTAGAAAAAATAAGTCCATATTTATAAAAAGCTATTATATTAAGATGAAGAAACATGATAGATTGGCCTAAAATTTTATAATGTAATTCTCCCTCCTTTCTGCATGCCTTTGTGGTGTAATTGAAAGCATACTCACTCAATGTGTATTCGAGAGGTCCAGGGTTTGAGTCCCAGCAAGGTTACTGCACATTTTTTAAGTTTCCTGTTTCAAAATAACCTAGTGATTCTACAAATGGCACTAAAAGGTGGTGGACTATAATTCATCACCCCTTCATCCCCAGTCGCCTTTTGAAAAAGGGGTATATAAGACATTTTATTCCTTCCTTCCACTTGCCTTCATGGTAAAGTTGGAAGCATACTCGATGTGTATTCGAGGGATTCAGGGTTCGTGTCCTAGAGAGAGCACTACACATTTTTCACACTTCCGGTTTCAAAACAATCTAATAACTCTATAACTTTAACAAAAAAGTACATCTTACATATTAGGTTATTAAGTATTTGCATATTACAGCAATACCTCAGTAGAAATCACCTAATTTCCAAAACACACCAAAATCTAGGGCCCATGTGCATGATAATTCTTCAGTTTTAACAAAGGAATACCATCATTATGTACATTCTTTTTGTTGTGCTCCAAATTCCAACAGTTTTTACACACAAATTGTGATATTCTTTTTTCTTAAATTGAATTTTAAAATACCCACTTGCAGAATTTGTCTGGTTAGGTTATTTGAATATGTCACTGAACACAAAAGCTGTCTGCCTAATGTGATACATGCTTCTATCGATGACTTTCTGGGAGAAACCAGCTTGTATCCACATTAAACAGAAAAAATCATGAAAACACTCATGCAGCCTGCTCGTTTGCTGGAGTTCAAACATGAGTTGAGCTATCATTCCTCAGTATCCTTAACAACTAAGCCACTAGTGGGAATTTGAAAAACTGTAAATTTTTGCAAGAATGTGGTATTTTGTTGCAAATTTGCTAAAAGGAGTAATAGCACTGAATCTATTCTTAAAGCAACTCCCATGAAATTTCTATAGAACAAGAGACAAACCCACTTGTAAATATATTTTTATGACTGATTTTCAAGGTAACTTTTTGTACTTTTGGGTTAACCGAGTGCAAGCGGAAAGTCTCCAAATAATTTAGACCTGCAGCAACTTGGATACAAACCTGATGAGAATCATTCTCCATCTTTTCATTTACAATCATTTGTAATGGTGAATTATTCGAAATACAGTAAAAGTCCAGAAATCCGCAAAGCTTGGGACCAGAGGTTATACGGAATTTATATATGAGGTTATATGGACCAGAGGTTATATGGTGCGGATTTTAGGATTTTGTGGATTTCAAGGATTTTGCGGATTTCAGGATGAAAAAGATAAATCGTAATATTCAGACTCAAAGTGCAAAAAATATAAGGCGTATTAGATACATTATTGCAATAATTTATTATATGCGTTAAATTATTATTACATATATAAATTGATTATATTATTCATTGTATTATATGTACACAGCATCCAGGTTTGCCAATTTCGTCTCCATGCGAAAGATTTCTGGTTTCGGATTCCGGTATTAGAATCCACTGTTGCTGTAAAATTTCAACAGCTTTTCCTTATTTTTCTGTATATCATACACAATCATGTCGCAATTCCATACGCTTCTGCTATAAACCGAGGAGTGGAACCTGCCTCCATCTTTTTCAGAATTTGCACTTTTTGCATTACCGGAACCTATAAACTGAATGTTTATATTTTGAGAGGCAACGCAGATTTCTGGTTGGCGGATTTTCAGTATTTGACTGTATAATCATTCAACATCATTTAAAACAAGTAACATCTATTTTTACCATCACACAAATTTGGTCTACTGCAGCAAAAAGAGCATTTGTAAAGATACGTGGTTTGAAAATACCAAGATTAAGTTTTATAACATCTAAGATTTATTTATGCTTGGAGTAAGAAATGACCCCAATCAAATGGTATGAAAAACAACTGGATATGAATCATTCGACAATTATAGATTAGTACAACCACTTGCAAGACGTTTGTGTATAAATATTAGTGAAATATGAGCAACAAAAAAAAATCGGTGGTCCTGAAATGATCGTTGAAATCAACAAAAGCTTGTTTACCAAAAGAAAGAGCAATGCTGGTCGAATTCTTCCAAAATAGTAGATATTTATTGGTATTTGCTGTCAAACCGATGAATGCTTCCTAGTTAAGGTTCCACACCATTCTCTACCTGTACTCTTAAATGTGATAAAAAAACCACATCGAAAAAGGATCCATTGTTCATTGCAATTCCTGGAAGGATTACTGCACCACTAAAATCGAAGAAGCCGGTCGACAGCATTTGAAAGTAAACCATAAGTATAATTTTGTCGACTCCGACACTAGTGTGAATATGCAAAAAAAATCAAATGACTGGGGCAGTGCCAAATAGAGAAATAAAAAACATTGGGGCACTGCCCATCAGAATCTGGCAGGCCTTTGAATGTCACCACTTTTCGAAATTACACGTTCCCCAAACAATTAGCATACAGCAGCCATGGATATTCATGCTGCGTTGGATATTGATTCATCTTGCTGAAACTATAGTGTGGAAATCTCTATAGTTGTTTCACAACAAAGGTTTCAGGCATCACAACATAACAATTTGATGTGACTAATCATAAGGCCATACTCATCCCAAAAAAAAAAGGCTCATCACAAATTAAAATGATGGCAGAATTCTCGACGTACCTCCTTCATACTGTCATTGTTCTTGCAAAACACTTCAATCGCAAAAATTCGTTGCACAGCACTCCAAGCATTCATGATAACTAAATGAAAAGGTGACATTGGTAGGCTGGCGAATATTACTCAGTGTTACCAAATGCACACAGTTGCCAAAATGGTTTTCAAAATTTCTCGTTTCTTTGAATCACCCTGTACCTTGCTGAATTTATGTGGAGGAGTAAAGGATCCATTCGAGGAAATTCTCAAAGACATTTGCATATTTTGGAAAAATCGAATAATGGAATAAATATATTGACAAATATACTGACATAATAATAAATAAATATAAGGGAGGAGGATGGATGTGATATTTGCCATTAGTGATTAAACTGATTCATTTAGTTACAAATCTCACTGGTAAATTTAGGCAAGCAGCAATAGCAGCAAGAACTCCCAAAATTGATGCCATTCTTAGGAAGCATGCAGGAAAAGGAGCAATTATTGATCAAGCAACGTGATAAGGAAGTACATATTTGATGATAAAAGAGGTTCTCAGAATTAAGAACTTTTTTAGAAGATGTAGACAACCCTAATATTTCACTAACAGAAAGACTGCGGAATGATCTTGCAGAACTGGAAACTCTTCTTTCTCTACTGTATATAGCCACAAAAAAGATGCAATCTGAAGAACTGATAGGAGGCGAGAATAGAAGAATGGGATGTTTGTTCTTTCTCAAATGGAGGTGTTATTGCAGAAGGAATCATTTCTTCAATGAAGAAAATAGAAACTAGTTGGAAAATGAGATCTTGCTGGATTTAATATATGTAGATCCGAAACACCAAATTTTCTTGGATGACGAACAAATTAAAAAGGTAAAGAAAGCCATCAATGAATTTTCATTAAGAATGAAATTATTCTCAGAACAATTGGAGAATTCGAATCAGGACAGTCAAACTGCAGACATTGCAACTGAGTCTCTATCATAGCGGCTAGCATACATATTTTTTGTTCTTTATCTTCTGTTTAATAAATGAGCTTTATGAACAAGTCAAGTTTGTTTTGTTTCTGAACCTTTATTTGCCGAAGATGGCATTATCCTTAATTTATGGGCCTAAGTGTACAAGGTAACCAAAAAAGCTCTTGTCATTTTGGACAGTCAGAAAGAAAAAGTCATAAAACAAATAGCAATCACCATCGACAACCAGTGCCTTTTGCCAACAAGTGGCTAGCAGCGTGATGCCATCGCAATAAAACTCAGGAGTCCTGGACGATAAGAAGTCCGTAAGGGCCTTTTCGAGGTCTGGCCGGCTTATGAAATTTCTGGCCGGATTTCCCATGAAAATGGTTGTCCAGGGAATAGAAACGGTTGTAGTGAGATGGCACAAGGTCTGGGGAGTGTGGTGAATGGGGTAGTATCTCCCAGCCCAGTCTCTGAATGGTATCCCTGGCCTCCCAAGCGACATGCAGCCTCGCACTGTCACGGAGGAGGAGTACACCTTTACGATTGACCAATGCTGGCTCTTTATGCATCAGTGCCTGATGCACACATTCCAACTGCTGAGAGTACAGGCCTGCCATGATGGTTTGACCCACTGGCAGGAGCTCATAATGCACCCCTTGGAAACTAGTCTACCAGATACAGAGCATGACCTTGCATGGAAGGACAGAAGGTCTCACACCGTAAGCACATCATATTTTTATTCTCCAGCTGCACAGCTAATTCGTAGCTCACCGCTTTACTCTCTCTCTCTACATTCGGATGTTTTGTTGCTATCAACAGTAAGCAAAATATAATTATTCCTACTATTGATCTGCATATCTGGTTTTTGTCTGGCTGTCAGGAAATTAATTGTTGATCGAAAGAGTGGCCTGGAAGATTTACTGAGCACAAATAAATGAAATTATCAAAGACTGATATTTATAAATAATTCCAACGAAAAAATCTAATTATCACAATTTCCACCTATTTGCATAATCGATCATTTAACATAGGAAATTTTGTACCTCTCCAAAGAAATAACCATAGTTATTAATAATATAGTATTTAAAATCCTAAGAGAGAGAAGTTGTTTAGTTTATGCATTGTCTGTATCATTCATTTTTTATAACAAGTGCATAATAATACTCAAATTCTTTCCATTTCTGAGCCATTAAACTCTAACCTGTGAGCACAGGGTCCCATTGTGACAAACAATGTCTGGAATGCCTGGGTATGTCATACTGGACTCACTTTTCATTACTGGCGAGTACTCAATCAAATATGGATGCACTGTGATGCCAAGTAAGCAATGACAAACAGGCGGCAACACACTGTTGCTTGTTTGCATCAGACAGTGAGTGGGGGTACCCACTTGCTCAGCTTGTATACCTTTCCCATGCAGAGCAAATGGAATCTGACTGTTTCATTAGATACCTGGAAATATGCAGCAAGCTCACCACATGTTTGGTTACTGTCATTTTCTATGGCTGTTCTCAGGGCCTCATCATCCAGCACTTATGGCCGACTGCTGCGTGGTGCAACACTAAGTGACATATCCCTTGATCTGAACTTCTGGTATCATTGCCTAGCGGTTCATTCGTTAACTCCATTATCCCCAAAGGCTTGGCAAACTTGGTGGCTTGATTCTGCTGCTGACACGCTGACTTTAAAATCATACAGCAAACAACTCCAAACGCGCGCCTTTGATGCGTCTATTTCAATCAGTCGCTGTGTGAGTTACGTTTGAAGTACCGATGCAACATACTTTTATACTCTTGGTCAATGCCTGGACACCCATCCTAACCACTTCATCGCAGGTTTTGCAGACTATTTTTATAATGGGGTTCACTCCAATGTCATATCAGAAACAGCAAGAACTTTTTTGGTTACCTTGTACATATGCTTTTCCCAGATCTGAACTTCAGCCCTTTGATATGGCAGCCAGCTCTGCTAATTGCCATTATGAATTTAATCACAATCAATTGCTATTAAGTTTTTTGGTACATGTCTCACTGTTTTTTCAGTGTAAATTTCTATTTTCTGATTAATGTAGATAAATGGAGTACTTATTAATAATGAAAATTAATTAGTAAGTTTGTAATAATGAAACATAACGCATATGCGAGTTTATCTTTAGTATATCTAGATGAAATCAAAGAAATCTGAGTCATAAATAGATTAATAGTTGTCAGTTGTGAAAAATTTCTATAAAATATTTTATAGAAGCATAAAACTGCAGTAAAATTTTAAAAGGTATTTCTTTATATAAAAAGAAATGTCATAATTTTTGAATAACTAAGCTTTCATTGGGTTCATTAAACTTTTCATCGGAGCAGAAGATGAGGAAAATATGCAATGATTTTGTCAGAACTCAAGTTACGGACTTTCTAAGTGCTAGATGGACATACTTCTAATTACATCATGAGGGAATGCTGTAAGAAGAGAGAAAAATTATCATGTAATCCCTTTTAAAAGGTGTCTGGGAAGAAAGAGATCTAATTGTCAAATCCTGCTGGCGGCAATAACCTTACCACCTTTTAATGTGGGCAGCATTTAACAGTCGATTACAATTTTCAGCGGAGTAGATTACATGAAAAATAAGTATTGCTCTTGCCAGGGATCCAAGTCTAAACCTTTCAATTGCCAGTCAGATATGCTTTTCAATTACACCATAAAAGGACACACTGGGAGCAGGGCTGTAGAGTCGGTAGGGAAAATGACAGACTCCGACTCCTGGAATTTTAAAGACTCCGATTCTGACTCGACTTCCACTCCCTCATATATATATAATATATATATGTGTGTGTGTGTGTGTGTGTAAACATACACATGGGTTACAGCTCATTTTTTTAATATAAAAGAAGTAATAGATGGTATAGAAAATGATAGAAACGATTCCTTCAGAAAAGAAATGACTCCTTCGGTAATAAACCCTCCATTTCAGAAAGAACTAACATCATATTCTTCCATTCTAGCCTCCTGTCAATTTTTCAGATTGGCCACACACGGCAGCAAAATTAAAGGATGGAAATTTTTTTGTAATTTAGAAAAGTACATAGCAGCAATATTTAGGAATAACAAAATTTGCTTTAGGAAATTTTTATGCTTTAGGAAACAGGATAGAATTTAGGAGCAACAAAAATTTTTGAAATCGGGAAGATAATGGCAATTTAGGACTTGCAGGGACAGCACTGGGCAGCAAAATGCCAAACACCAGCCTTAACTATACTTTCACACATAATCTATATTAATTACTCTATATTAGATCATTTCAAATTCATTTACCAATTAAGTAAAAAAAATCTGTTCTCATAAGATATGTCAAGGGGCAAAAGTTAATAATTTAACGGTTTCATAATTAAAATGTGTACAGCTTAAATATAAAAACATACAATAAATGTTTCATACTCTTCGTCATGTCATTATATTATTAAAAATAATTCCCTGTGAAAATCAGAGCTCAGATAACTATTTACCAAATAACTTTAAAATCAGTATCTTACAACAAAATATGTTCATTTCAAATGAAATTGTTTACACATAAATTTTATATCATGTAATTTGCAAACACCTGCAAAACTAAAATAATGAAATGCAGTTACACATACCTGCTTTCACAGCTCTGATTTTAACTGAACTGCCATTCCTCACGCAATGTTTCAATAATGATATGACATCTTTTTGAGTATATCCAGCAACTTTCTGCCCTTGTACTTCAAGAAGAATATCCCCTTTTGATACATTTCGGTTTGTTACTGGTACATAGCCAAAAAATGGAAATTCTCCATTATCGGAACCACCCTCGATAGTTAAGTCAAGTGTTCCATCTGAACTGGCAGTTAAAAAACACTCGTAAACAGCTTTACTCCAATGCTCCAGCAGCAGACTATGATCTGCATCCAATTTGTTGGGAGTGCCCGGACTTTTTACAGAAGCCCTGAGCATGATCAGAAGAAGACAGTATTCATGGCTGAAGTACTGGTGACTTTAAGTGGAGGTGGAAGTAAACAAAACCACCCAGCACTTGTATTGTTAGCGAAATGATCGGGTGTTGACACACTAGGCCTAAGGATTTGAATTAACGCGGAGTGCAATGATACGCTCTAAAAAGTTTGTAGAATATCATTTTAAATAAATGGGTGGATATTACATACGGAAAATAATACAAACAGTTTTTCTCCATCATCAGCCAACGTCGAAATGAACTCCAATAACATACATACTTAACATAACTAGTTTACTAGCTTTAGCATCTTCCCGAACACGATACGAAGATGACAGTTCAAAACCTCGTCCTTTGACACGCAGGACTATGCGCAGGCGCAGTAAGCTATTTTTCGAAAATTCCTCAGAACTATTTTCTAATGAGCTATGTAATTAAACAACCACGAAAAAAAAAAAAAAAAGCTCAAATAGTTTCTTGCACTTTCTATTGATATTTTCACCAAAAATTCTAGACAAAATTTTTCAACTCCAGATTCAGACTGTAATAAAATAAATGCTATTAGAAATGCATTAAATTTATAAATATTTAATTTTTCTTGTAGATATATTTTCTGTTCAAAAAACTGGAATCTTTAATAAGCATTTTTTGTTGAAATTAGGTGGTTTCTGTGTAACTGATACATAAAATGCGACAAAGAAAGCGATTAGCTATAATGATTTAAAATTTTAGAAATTTTTTTTTTTCAAAAACGCATTTTAAAATTTTACCGCGTTGAAGATTATGATCATCTATCATTGGTTCAGATTTCTTTAATTTCATCTACACACACACAGAGATCGTATTTTATTCTCGAGTGTCATGACGTAGAAACATCTTTTTACTCAACATCTGATAAGGATCGGGTGGGAGAAGAAAGAGTAGGGTGGAAGGAAGTGTGGGAGGCGGAAAAAAAGAGAGTGAGGTCCGCACTAGCGGCGGCGAAAAAAAAGGGGGGGCAAGTTCAGTGTCGTTATAAGATGTAGCCGCGGGTGGTAAACCGCAGAGTCAGTTTAGCGTGAATGAGTCAATTAAGGTTGTAATTCTTATGTAGGTAGGATGTCAGAGGGTAACGATGTTTTTCTCTGGAACGAGGAAAGTGTCTGAGAGTGCTAATAAGGCTATTACTGTGGGTTTGTACTGAATAAAAGAAGTTGACCGCTAATCGTTTAATATACTCTTGAATAAGTTCGATTCGAAGGTCTCTGTGAATATAGATGTTTGGAATATACCAAGGAGCATTGATAATTTCTCGTAGAATTTTATTTTGTAGAATTTGTAATTGTTTAATATTGGTTTTAGCTGCATGTACCCAGATCGGTGCTGCATAAAGGAGGGCTGGGCGAAGTATGGAGCGATATAGAATTAATTTGTTTGTTTGAAAAACTCTCTCTTCCAGATACATCTTTAACTTATTCTTTTTACAATTTAATATCAATGTTGCCAAAATATTAAAACTTAAAATTATGATTTATAAACAAATACTATCAATTCTCCCTTATTTGTATTTAAAGATATAATTTTAATCAGTCAGTCAAGTCCATACTTTAATAGTTCATCTTTTAATTTCACCCTAGGTAGATACTTTGTTAAAATATCTGCTTCTTGATTTTGTGAACACACAAACTGAGGAATGATTTGATTCATTTCATATTCATCCTTAACAAAGAAATATTTTCTATTAATGTGCCTTGAACTGCTACTTTGTTTTGGTTTTTTAATCCAATCTATTAATGCTTGACAGTCTGTTTTAATTCCTATTGGTTTGTCAATTAGATCATCTTGACCCAATTCTTCAAATAAAAAGATGTACCATTTAACTTCACATGCACATTCGCAGAATGCAAAAAGTTCAGCTTCCATTGTAGATAGAGCAACTATTCTTTGTTTGTTGCACTTCCAATTTATGAAATTTTTGCCTAATTTAATGAAATAACTTCCAAATGATTTTCCATCTTCAGTGGTACATCAACTTGCATCTGATGTAGCATTTAATTTCCCATTGTCTGAAGTATACACTAAGCAAATATTTTGCGTTCCTTTAATATATCTAAATATCCTCTTTACAGCTTTCCAGTGTTTCTCTCTGGGATCTTGATTATATCTTGACAAATTATTTACTGCAAAAGCTAAGTCTGGCCTTGTGCCTGTTGCTAAGTACATCAATGAACCTAATGCTTCTTGATATTTTGTCTTCGATACAGGTGGTGAAGATGCTATGTCATCATTATTTTCACCCAATATTCCTGGAGTCTTGATAGGTTTACATTCATCCATTTCAAAGTTTTTTAAGATTTTAGTTATATAGTTTTCTTGACTGAGTATAAGTTTTCCAGATTCTTGCCGGATGTCTATTCCTAAAAATTTTTGTGTTTGAGTGACTTCTCGTAATGTGAACGATTTAGATAGTTGAGAGCTGATGTCATTTATCTCAGAATTTGAATTTCCAATCACCATTAAGTCATCCACATATACTATGATAAAATATTTGATCTTATCTTTATAAATATAAACACACGGATCTGACTTTAGTCTAGTTAAATTCTTTTCTTTAAGAACTTTACATAATTCATCATACCAGCATTTTCCTGATTGTGGTAATCCATATATACTTTTGTTTACAAGATATACTTTGTTCGGATCTGATATAAAGCCAGGTGGTTGTTCCAATGTATAATTGGTTTATTCCAAGTACCCATTTAAATATGCAGTTTTTACATCGAAAAATCTTATTCTGTAGTTTTTGTAAACTGCAATCGATAGCAATGTTCTAAAGGTTGCAAGTCTCATTACTGGGCTAAATCCATTTTCATAATCAATTCCTTTTCTTTGATTAAATCCGGTTGCTACTAGTCTTGCTTTGTAAATTGTTTCTAAATTACCCTTTTCATCCTTTTTTTTTTTCTTTTTGAGAATATCCAGTGGTTTTTAATAACTTTCTTATCGATGGGTCTATCAGGGTCAATGTTCCTTCTAACCTTTTTCGGGAACATGCAAGGACCTGACTCGGAACAGAGAGCTTACTAAAGCTATGTTCAAAACTGTGGGAAGTAAACAGGATACACAAGAAGGGTATACAAAACCCTTTATTTTTCTCTATTTACAATGACTTCCGTACTTCAGAATACAACGACCCGCTACTTGGGGTCAAAACGTAAAAGTATAAAAATAAAACTAAACTCTAATTTAACTTTAGAATAAGAAACGTGGAAGATTGGCCTTATATTAACAGGAAGCGTATGTAGTACAGAGAACTGTGAATACTACAATACGTTTAAATTTATCAAGAGGACTAAAACCTCTGGCCTGGAAGGCAAACAGCAACTGCGTAACTTCTAAGGTAAGCGGCCTGCCTCGACTCACTGCTTCCTCTCTCTCGCTTGGCAAAAAGCCACAACTTAAATACTTGGAGCTCGCCAGACAAACTATGCATAAAAACCTTAACGCTTATAATTCTGGCCGGAAGTAGAAAATAAGAAGTGATAGTAAAGATTTAAAATAAAATAAACGTTAGTAAAACTTAAGATCCTTACATACTTCCCGCCAGAGTTAATTAGTTTGAAACTGAGGTCTAAAACAACCTTGTTGAAAACTTTTAGCTCTAGAATCTAACGCGAGGCCAATCTTTTACAAATATTTTTCGCTAGAAACTAGAAATTTAAAAGAAAGAAATTTGTTTTTTACAATAGCAGCTCCCAGGATACACAAATTTTTTTTCATCTGTACTGCATCCAAACAGGAGCTCTTATTCAAATCTGGTTCCTTCCAGAGATCTGGAACCAGATTTGAATAAGAGCTCCTGTTTGGATGCAGTACAGATTTGGATGCAGATTCCAGAGATCTGGAAGGAAAAGTAGTTTAATGAAATGTTACACAATGAAATGGCAAATAACATGTATAATTATATTTCACTTAACATTTTTATTTCATTCATGACTATTTTAATTATCTCTCCCCGTGCTCTCTGACATGTGTTGTAAAAGAGCACCAAACACGAATGTGTTTCTGTCTACGTGTTCCACACTTCCTCCTACAATCAAAACACTAACGTGTTAAAATTCAACATAACAAGCCCTCTTAACACACCCTAATTTCAACTCTAAACCCTGAGGTACTATTCTGAAAGTGGCTAACTCTAAAGTGTAGCGTCAGAGAGCCTAACTACATCATTCAACCTTTAACACATATTCGCCATGCTTTAGTCTTTTTACAGTCACACGAATAAAAAAATTTTAACATTCACTTTTACCATATCACGGTATTTCTTAACATTTAAAATAACAGTTCACATTGTATATAAGAACATATTAACATGCCGTTAATTTTACACATTTGAAAACATACATTAGTAGTACATTGTTAACTTCTATTCTTTTCAAAGCAAGTGCCAATTCTTTCTACATTGAAATACTACATTTCAAAAAGTCTTTCAGACTAAAACTTCTTTCTTGCTAGAATGTTTTAAATAAAATTTATACAATAACTTTTTACAATATTTAAGTCTTTACACAACGCTATTATACATCAACTTTAGTTTTACGCGCGAGTAATTGAAAAACATAATACCAAAATCGGTAACAACTCATTTCTCGCCCTTTTGGCGATAAAGGTAGACCTCGCATGAGGTAAAACTTCTTGAAATCTGCCACTTGCAGTAAGAATGAAAGATTAACTTAAGTTTGCAAAGTAACATAAAATTTTACTTATCTTTGTGATATTCGGACATCCTTTTCTGGGCCCAGTCCTTTAAAGGTATTGCAGATAGTTGTTTGATTTATCCTCCTTCTTGTACGGGCTCGCCCTTCAGTGCCTTCCTCTGGAAGCTTCCTTTTTTCACCAGTTCGGTCACCCTTGAATACCTTCTTTTTCTCCTCTGCTTGTGGTCTTGGCCGTTTGATGGCAGCTGGTCTTGGCGGAACCGGGAAACTTCTTTCGGTTCCTGCTTGGACCTCGTTGCTGGCCGTTCAAATTTTCCTTGTAACTTTTCCTCCGCCGCTGATGGCCCTTCCGCAGTTCGGCGACATTTGCTGCGGAGAGTCCTGTCGGATGAGTAGATCTTCCGTTTTAGAGCCGGGTTATAGTTGCCGTCATTTCTCCTGGTTCTCTTCCCATACGTCGTCCTTCTCCCTTCTTCATTCTGGGGGTGTTCGTGAACTCTCTTTTCTGGACGGTGGAACGGCTTCTTTTTCTTGCTCCCTTCAATTTTTCCGCGGGGAAATTTTCTTTTCACTTGCTCCTGCCTCTTAATGGCTTGCCCTTGTACTTGTCGTTTTTCCAACTCTGGAGCTTGTGCCTGCGGTGTCTGCCGTGCCGGATCCTGCAAAA